TAAAAATCACAATAAATCTCCCAACTGCAAATCCCAAACTCCTCCTTTAGAATGCAGCATTGTACTTCCCATTTCCAGGACTCAAGTCCGGTTATATAAAATAACCAATTTCCCTGAATCCCTTCACTAAATATTACCCTGCTCACACTCCAACAGATCGTCAGGTCCCAAATACCATTTGTCTCCATTCACTCCTATCTAACACGCTCACGCACGCTTGCTGGAAGTCCAAACCCCTCGCCCACAACACCTCCTTTACCCCCTCCCTCCAGCCTTTTCGAGGACGATCCCTACCCTGCCTTCCTTCCCCTACAGATTTATACGCTCTCCATATCATTCTACTTTGATCCATTCTCTCTAAATGACCAAACCACCTCAACAAACCCTCTTCAGCCCTCTGACTAATACTTTTATTAACTCCACACCTTCTCCTAATTTCCACACTCTGAATTTTCTGCATAATATTTACACCACACACTGCTCTTAGACAGGACATCTCCACTGCCTCCAACCGCCTCCTTGCTGCAGCATTTACAACCCAAGCTTCACACCCATATAAGAGTGTTGGTACTACTATACTTTCATACATTCCCTTCTTTGCCTCCATAGATAACATTTTTTGCCTCCACATATACCTGACTTCAAGAGTGTATCAGTCTGTAGTGGAAGGAAGGCGGGGTAGGGGTCGGCCTAGGAAGGGTTGGAGGGAGGGGGTAAAGGAGGTTTTGTGTGCGAGGGGCTTGGACTTCCAGCAGGCATGCGTGAGCGTGTTTGATAGGAGTGAATGGAGACAAATGGTTTTTAATACTTGACGTGCTGTTGGAGTGTGAGCAAAGTAACATTTATGAAGGGATTCAGGGAAACCGGCAGGCCGGACTTGAGTCCTGGAGATGGGAAGTACAGTGCCTGCACTCTGAAGGAGGGGTGTTAATGTTGCAGTTTAAAAACTGTAGTGTAAAGCACCCTTCTGGCAAGACAGTGATGGAGTGAATGATGGTGAAAGTTTTTCTTTTTCGGGCCACCCTGCCTTGGTGGGAATCGGCCGGTGTGATAATAAATATAATAAAAATATATACCTCAATGCACCACTCACCTTTTTTCCTTATCAATTCTATGATTAACCTCATCCTTCATAAATCCATCTGCCGACACGTCAACTCCCAAGTATCTGAAAACATTCACTTCTTCCATACTCCTCCTCCCCAATCTGATATCCAATTTTTCTTTATCTAAATCATTTGATACTCTCATCACTAACTAAACCTAATGAAACACCACTGCATCCCACTGAAACAGCTAACAAGATAAACGACTTCTTCTCAACCATAGGATCTAATCTTGCCAGTAAAATCCCACATACCAACGCCCATGCTGGGGACTATCTAGATGGGAATTTCCCAAATTCCTTCTATCTTGTTCCAACTGAACCCACCAAAGTCACTGAGATTATAAAGTCACTTAAAAATAACTCAGGGAGCCTGTCTCATGTCCCACCATTATTGTACAAGCGAGCGGCCCATGTCCTTTCGCATGCTATTTCATTACTTTTTAACAAGTCACTAGAAACTAGCACCTTCCCGAAACTACTCAAGACAGCAAGGGTTACATCAATACATAAAGGTGGCGACCCTACAGATGTAACCAACTATAGGCCAATATCAAACTTACTATTGCTATCCAAAATCTTCGAGAAACTCGTGCACAGGAGACTGTATTCATTTATAATGGCACAAAACATACTCAACCCCTCCCAATTTGGATTCAGGAAAAATAAAAGCATTAATGATGCAATTGTAAAAATGCTAGATCTGCTTTACTCAGCATTGGAAAATAAGGAATATCTGATAGGAATTTTTATTGACTTAAGAAAAGCTTTTGACACAGTAGACCATGGCATCCTACTCCGCAAACTTGACCATTATGGTATAAGAGGCCATGCGCTTGCATATTTCAAATCCTACCTTACTAATAGGTATCAGTATGTCACCATTAAAGACACAGCATCATCAACATGGCCACTTGATACTGGAGTTCCACAGGGAAGTGTCCTTGGACCCCTGCTCTTCCTCATTTACATCAATGATCTTCCAAACGTATCCCAACACCTGAAACCCATTCTCTTTGCTGACGACACAACTTATGTCATCTCTCGCCCTAATCTTGCCACCCTCAACACCTTTGTTAATGAGGAGCTGCTCAAAATATGAACTTGGATGACAGCCAATAAACTTACACTTAACACTGACAAGACCTACTCTATTATGTTTGGTAGCAGAGCAGGTGCTGCGCAACTTAACATTAAGATCGACAGCACTCAAATTGCCAGACATAATGAGGGCAAATTCCTAGGCCTATACCTCGACAACAACCTGAATTTCAGCAACCATATCCAACACATATCAAAAAAATGTATCCAAAACAGTTGGGATCCTCTCCAAGATATGATACTATGTGCTGCAAAATGCCCTTCTCACAATATACCATTCACTCATTTATCCATACCTCACCTATGCTATTTGTGCTTGGGGATCAACTACAGCAATACACCTAAAGCCAATTATAACTCAACAAAAAGCTGCAATAAGAATAATCACTAATTCCCATCCCTGGCAACACCCCCCCCCACTCTTCATAGATCTAAACTTACTCCCTGTTCAGAACATCCACACTTACTACTGTGCAATCTACATATACAGGACCTTAAATTCCAATATTAACCTTGACCTAAAATGCTTTCTTGATAGTTGTGACAGGACCCACAGGCATAACACCAGACACAAACATCTCTACGACATTCCCCGTGTCCGACTAAACCTTTACAAAAACTCAATGTATGTCAAAGGCCCTAAAATCTGGAACACCCTACCTGAAAACTCTAGAACAGCAGACACATTCATCACCTTCAAAACTACTGTTAGAAAACATCTTATCTCCCTGATATACCCCATCAACTAACTACATAAAAACCACCTGGCAATCAAACTATCGTTACCATATACTCGCTCGCTACTCCTATCTGTTGAACTTTTCCCTCACATAGACAGAATCCTAGATGCCAAACAAAAACAAATTAAAGTAAAAATAGGGAAAAACGACAAACCGTCCTCAAGAACAATAGGTAATGCAATATTAACTTACAGTAAAGTCTGCAGACAAAATATAGGGAACTGAATGTGTAAACAAATTATTTTAAGTGTTACAAGTAAACCACAAACATAATATTTACTGCTTTAATGACTTCTCAGAATAAGTACAGTTTTTTACTGTATTCCGTTACATATAAATTTAAAGCATTTATAAACCTTTGTATTAAAGTACTGTACTTAAATTTTTGTAATGCTGCTATGATCAAGTTGGAACATTGGTAGTGCTCCAAGTTCAGCTTTTTCATTTGCTATTAAGTCTTCAGCTCGACAATGACTGGAGAATCTTCCTCTGTTTCCACAATGACTGGAGCATCTTCTCCATCATCCTCTAAATTGAGATCCCACTTAAACTTACTAGTTATGTGGGCTTTAAACCGGTGAGCCTTTTTTACTAATGTTGCTGGGAGGGATACAGCATTGTCATTAACATTAGCAAACAAGGATCTCAATGCAGCTGCCAAGAAATTGTTGCTCTCAACAATATCAACAAACAAATCTTCTGGGACCTGCCAATGTAAACACTGATTAGAAAAATATATATTGGAACAATGCAAAAAAAGCACCAAAAATCAAACTGGCACCATAACTGAGAAAATTATTTACATTCATGAAGGGAGGCACAAAAGCCATAGAGAACCATAGAAAAAGATGATCAGAGTGTATTTGATTGAGTGAGCATTTCAGTTCAAAAGCATATTTTTCCTTTTCCTTAGTACCCTTATTGATAAATTTTTTACCTTTCTCACTCATTCTTACCTCCCCCTTTCCTTGATTCAATTATTTATTTATTTATTTATAATTTGAGCACACTTACAGAGGTACAAAAAAAATACAGATAAGAGCAGCATGCCAAAGCCACTTATACTATGCATAGCATTACAGTCTGGCTTAAAATTAACTTAAGATTAACTAAGCAATGATGAAATCAGTGAAAAACATTAATGTAAACTGATTACTATAAAGCACAAGTGAGTATTACAAAGACAGGTCATATGGTTGCATGCATTGTTGTAAATTCAGTAGAATGGAGTATTCTGTTAGGTAGTGAATTTAAAAAATAATAAAGTTAGATTGGGTTTTAGGTTTAACATTTATGTGATATAATTGTGAGAAACATTTAAGATATACAATTTATAAGGTTCAGTTATTCAGTATTTATTTGGTTTTGGGTGAGTAAGTGATCTTTGAGAAGAGACTTGAATTTATAAACAGGTAGTGTTTCTTTTATATTTACAGGTAATGAATTCCAGATTTTAGGGCCTTTTATGTGCATTGAGTTTTTGCATAGCGTGAGATGGACACGAGGAATATCAAAGAGTGATCTGTGCCTTGTGTTATGGTCATGTGTTCTGTTGAGGTTGGCAAGGAGATGTTTGAGGGGAGGGTTAATATCAGAGTTGAGTGTTCTATGTATGTAATAGGTGCAGTAATAAGTATGGATGTTTTGTATGGTGAGTAGGTTGAGTGTATTGAATATTGGTGGAGTGTGCTGCCTGTAGTGAGAATTTGTTATCATTCTAACTGCAGCCTTTTGTTGGGTAATTAGTGGTCTGAGATGGTTACTTGTTGTTGAGCCCCATGCACAAATTCCATAGGTGAGATAGGGGTAAATAAGAGAGTGATATAGGGCCAGGAGGGCTGACTGTGGAGCATAGTACCGTATCTTCGATAGTATGCCTACAGTCTTGGAAATTTTCTTAGAAATTTGTTGTATATGTGTATGAAATTTGAGTCTATTATCAAGGTGGATTCCTAAGAATTTTCCCTCTGTTAGCTTTGTGATAGGTGATCCGTTTATCATTATGTTAAGAGGGACATCTGTAGCTCTGTTACCAAACTGAATGAAGTAGGTTTTGTCAATGTTTAGTGTAAGTTTGTTAGTACTCATCCAGGTAGATATTTTCTGTAATTCGGTATTTACAGTATTGGCTAGCGTGACTGGGCTCGGGTGGGAGAAGACGTATGTTGTGTCATCAGCAAATAGTGTGGGTTTGAGTAATTGAGAAGCATTTGGTAGGTCATTTATGTATAGGAGAAAGAGAAGAGGGCCAAGGACACTTCCCTGTGGGACACCAACTGTAATTGGTTGTGCAGAAGAGTTTGCCCCATTTGCGTACACATATTGGCTTCTGTTGCTGAGGTATGACTTGAGGTAGTTGAGGGAGTGCCCTCTTATACCATAGTGTGATAATTTTACGTGGAGCAAGTCATGGTCAACTGTATCAAAAGCTTTACGTAAGTCAATGAAGATCCCCAGTGGGACTTCTTTTTTCTCTATTGCAGTGTATATATGTTCTAGCATGTGTATAATAGCATCATTAGTATTTTTATTAGGCCTGAATCCAAATTGGCAGGGGTTGAGTATGTTTTGGGAGATAAGGTAGGACAATTCTCCCTTGGATTGAAACTGATTTCCTTCCATTTCCCCAGGTGCTATATGTCCCATACAGGCATAGTGTGTCCCTCCATGAATGTAATACTGTAATGATAAATGTAATTCTTTGATATAAACATATGGTATCAAGTGTCTTCATGTAATGTATTAGTAATCTGCAGTGTGGATTTCTACAAGCCAATTTTTTCCCTTCAGGGGGGTTGCCTTCATGCTGGTGAAGGGCTCTTGATCTAAGAAATTAGAGTTGCCTTTCCCTCTCTTGGATCATATCTGATTACCTCCCATTCCTCAGGTGTTGTGTAACCAATACCCCATATGGAATGTGCCTTGATGCTGACAAGGGCTCTTGATCCAAGGAACCAGACTTCTCTTCCTTGGATCAATCCTAATTGCCTCCCATTGTCTTAGGTGTTATACAACCCCTACAGGTTTAGCACTCCTCCCCCTTCTCCCATACTCCATTAATCTAAAAATAGTGCTTCCCCATGATTATAAGAATAATACAGGATAGTATTATTCTTGCTATACTATATTCTGAAACAAGCACCAAATCCAAATGGGTCATATAGCACAGGGTTAGTTTAACCCTTAAACGGTCCAAATAGATCGACGTTCAAATCCACAGTGCTCCAAAAGTAGATCTATGTTTTTTTTACATATTTTCAAATATAACAAAAAAAAAAAAATGTAGATAAAAGTTTTTTTTACACATTTTCAAATGTAAAAAAAAAAATGATGATGTACATTTTTTTACATACTTTCAAATGTCGAAAAAACGTATATATACGTTTGGACCGTTTAAGGGTTAAGCAGTAAAGGATAAGTGTTAGTGAAGTTGATGGTTAGAGATGATGTAAAATCAACATCAGAGTTAGTGAAAAATTTTATTTTTTGTTAAAAAAAAAAAAAAAGGGATTCAGAGAGTACAGTGTGTACACTCTGAGGTAGATGTGAGGATGTCATATTTCAGAGGATCACTAGAAATGTGATACATATCTGCATACTTCTGGCAAGACAACTATTGCATGAATAATGGTGAATGTGTTTTCTTTTTTTGGGAAAGGAAGGGGGGGGGGTTACTACCTTGGATAAAATAGCCTGGGTGTTAAAAAGTAAAGGGGCAGAGTACAGCTCAGTAAATCAACGAGCAGAAACCATGTACCCTCCCTGAACTATGGTCACCGATGCAATATGTAGTGTGCTGTTCTCTGGAAACCCTACCTAGTGCAGAACAGCAGAATGGCACCTCCAGAAATGAACAGAGCTAGGCTTAGCAATGTCATAAGTGATCTGATTCCTTGGATTTTCCCTTTGCTATGGCAAGGAAACCTCCTCAAAGAGGAATAATAGTAATACTACTACAACCAACATTTTCTTTTAGTGAAAAGTGCAGAATAACCCATATAGGTCTATTGCCTTTTGTAAATACAGTAAGCTCTCTTATAAAGCTCCTCTATATAGTGCAATTTTTTTGTATAATGTGTAGAAAGGCCTTCATAGTACACACTATTCAATTTTAGATGCACTTTTTCAATTGCATTTACATTAAATCACACTTTATAAGAGAGCCTGATATAATTTTTTAGTGAGGATTAGATTCAGCCAACACCCTACTTCATAACTACAAAATGGTAAGAAAAAATCAGTATAAAACCTTAATATAATACTGTGTTAGTTTACAGTTTTTTTACCTCATGTATCTGAAAATGTATGATGGAGAGGAATTTGTTGTACAGATCAGGGTACTGCTGCAAAAGTTCTTCTGCACGACACATTTCTGACAAGAGGCGCTTCCAGTGCTCCCAACCATCCCATACTTGGCCCACTAAGAAAGATACAAAAGCCAGCTGCAGCTCTGCCAGCATACTCTCAGGGCTGAAAGAAATGAACTGCACTTTTTAACATTAATTGTAAGCTATACATCCTCAGGACATTTTGCACTGCATTCAGTATTTTAGTGAAAAAGCATTACTCAGTTGTGTGAGTACCTGGATACCAGTGAGGAGTTCTTTATCCAAAGAAATGAACTAATCTTACTTTTACTGGATCAAATCCGATTGCCTCATATTACCCCAAGCACCGCATGATGCCTATGGGTTTACCACTTTCCCTATGAATTCACAGTAATAATAGATGAGACAATTTAAATCAGATATCATTGTGATTGCCATCTTCAAGCTTGAGTTTTGGCAGCCCAGCCATCAAAGTGGGGAAATGCCTCGAGACTGTTAAAGTATTCTTGATCAAAGGTGCTGGTGATACCCTACCCTTCCATGGATCAAACTGGATTACCTTCCATTCCAAAGTGCTGTGTGACCTCTATAAGTTTTGTGCTTCCCTCTGGATATAATACTGATACAGTAACAGAAAACTCTTTATATAACAGACTTAAAATAATGGGTAAAATTCACTAGGCAAATTGTAATTTTAACTCTTTTATTCTTAAGGTTTATTGTATTATAACTGTAAAACGTGTACAATATAATATTATATGTACGTTGAAAGAAGAAAGAAAAGAAGGATATACAGTAGAATAACTAAGTGCTTTTTTGCCATGTTTTAATATTCTGGCAATCCTCCTTCATTGAGGTGTTAATGTTCCAGTTTTATAACTGTAGTGTAAGCATCCCTCAAGCAGACAGTAATGGAGTGAATGATGATGAAAGTTTTTCTTTTTTGGGCCACCCTGCCTTGGTGGGACATGGCCAATGTGTTAATAAAAAAAAAATCCCCCTTCATAGTCCCTTATGTAAAGGGCTACTGTACTTTAATAATTAAAATATCTTACCAACTGACAGCAGCCACCCAGGGAGGTACTACCGTCCTGCCAAGTGAGTGTAAAACTAAAGCCTGTAATTGTTTTACATGATGGTAGGATTGCTGATGTCTTTTTCTGTCTCATAAACATTCAAGATTTCAAGTACGTTTTGCTACTTCTACTTACACTTAGGTTTCGCTACACATGCATGTACAAGCATATATACAGTGGACCCTCAGGTAACAATGCCACTGGATAGCGATAAAATCTGATATCGATGCGTCTTTGCGTAAAAATATTGGCTCGGCCAGTGATGAAAAACTCAGTTAGGGACATTCGTCCCAAACACGTCCGCATGGCCTGGCCCACCCATCGCTGCTCAGCCACTATGTACACCCAGTGTGCCATTGTTTAGAAGCCAGGGCGGACGGTTCCAGCATACATTCAATACATTTTGTATTATTCCACTGTTTTTAGTGCTTGTAACTGCTAAATAAGCCACCATTGGCCCAAAGAAAGCTTCTAGTGCCAACCCTGTGGTAAAAAGGGTGAGAAATACTATCGAATTGAAGAAAGAGATATGTAATTGCAAAGTATAAAAGTGGAGTGCGTGCCTCCGAGCTGGCCCAGTTGTATAACAAACCCCAATCAACCATCGCTACTATCTTGGCCAACAGAAAGGCAATCAAGGAAGCTGTTGGTGCGGAAGGTGCAAGTATGCTTACAAAAAAGAGATCGCAAATACTCGAAGATGTGGAGAGACTTGTTATTGGTGTGGATCAACGACAAATTATTATCAGGAGATAGTGTTTCACAGTCAATCACATGTGAAAAGGCAAAGCAGTTGCATGTGGATCTCATTAAGAAAATGCCTGGAACTAGTGGTGATGTTAGTGAATTTAAGGCCAGCAAAGGTTGGTTTGAGAGATTTAAGAATCGTAGTGGCATACACAGTGTGATAAGGCATGGTGAGGCTGCCAGTTCTGATCAAAAAGCGGCTGAAAAATATGTGCAGGACTTTAAGGGTACATAGAGGCTGAAAAATTAAAACCCCAACAAGTGTTCAATTGTGACAAAACAGGCCTGTTTTGGAAGAAAATGCCAAACAGGACCTACATTACTCAAGAGGAAAAGGCACTCCCAGGACACAAGCCTATGAAAGACAGGCTAACTCTCATGTTTTGTAGTAATGCTAGTGGGAATTGCAAAGTGAAGCCTTTACTTGTGTATCACTCTGAAATTCCCAGTGTGTTCAAGAAAAACAGTGTCGTCAAGGCTAATTTGTGTGTGATGTGGAAGGCAAACAGTAAGGCATGGGTCACTAGGCACATTTTCCATGATTGGTTCTATCATGTGTTTGGCCCCACTGTGAAAAAATACCTCCTGGAAAATAAATTGGACCTCAAGTAACTCCTGGTATTAGACAATGTTCCTGCTCATCCTCCAGACTTGCAAGAGCAAATTGTGGGGGAGTTGACCTTTATCAAAGTGAGGTTTTTTGCCTCCTAATACCACTCCTCTCCTCCAGCCCATAGACCAGCAGGTCATTTCAAACTGTACACCAAAGCAGTGTTTCAAAAGTGCTTTGAAGTGACCTCAGACACTGAATTGACTCTAAGAGAGTTTTGGAAAGATCACTTCAGTATCCTCAATTGCATAAACCTTATAGATAAGGCTTAGGAGGGAGTGACTTGTAGGACTTTGTACTCTGCTTGGAGGAAATTGTGGCCAGAATGTGTACAAGAGAGGGATTTTGAAGGGTTTGGGGCTACCCCTGAGGAGCCTATACCAGTTGTAGAAACTGTTGTGTCATTGAGGAAGTCCATGGGGTTGGAGGTTAGTGGCAAGGATGTGGAAGAGTTGGTGGAGGACGACAATGAAGAGCTAACCACTGATGAGCTGCAAGAGCATCTGCAACAGCAAGAGACCACAGCTGAGGAAATTGCTTCAGAGGAGGGGAGAGAGAGATGGAGGAAGTTGCCTTCTTCAATGATTTAGGACATTTGTACAATGTGGACAAAGATGCAAGCCTTTATGGAGGAACTCACCCTGACACAGCTATTGCAAGCTGTGCTGGTGACATTTACAATGACAATGTTGTGTCCCATTTTAGGGAAATCTTAAAGAAACGCCAGAAACAGAGCTCTATGGACAGATTTTTGGTACGACAGAGGTCCAGTGACTGTCAAGTTGTTCCCAGTGGCATTAAAAAACAAAGAAGGGAAGTAACCCCGGAAAAAGACTTGCTACCTAAAGTCCTTATGGAAGGGGGTTCCCCTTCCAAACAATAGACACCTCCATCATCTCCCCTCCTCCCATCTCATCACTCATCAATAAATCTTCAATAAAGGTAAGTGTCATTTATTCTTCATGTTACTATTTATTCTTCATGTACTATTTATTCTTCATGTCTCATTGTTTTCTGTGTAGGAAAATGTATATTTCATGTGAAAATTTTTTTTTTTAATACTTTTGGGTGTCTGGAATGGATTAATTGGATTTCCATCATTTCTTATGGGGAAAATTAATTCGGATAACAATAAAATCGGCTAAGGACAAGCTCTCTGGAACGGATTAAAATCGTTACCCGAGGGTCCACTGTATACAGACCCTTCAGGGTTTTCTTCCATTTTCTTAATAGTTCTTGTTCTTGTTTATTTTCTCTTATCTCCGTCGGGAAGTGGAACAGAATTCTTCCTCTGTAAGCCATGCGTGTCGTAAGAGGCGACTAAAATGCCAGGAACAAGGAACTAGTAACCCCTTCTCCTGTACATATTACTAAAGTTAAAAAGAAACTTTTGTTTTACTTTTTGGGCCACCCTGCTTCAGCGGGATATGGCTAGTTTGTTGAAAGAAAGACAGATTATCATCTTACCAACTATTATGAATATAGTTTGGCTGATAAATAAGCAAAGAGAAGTACTGAATATAAATGCACAAAACTTGAATCAACATTAAGTTAAAATTTTTACCAAATTCAAAATTTCCTTCAAAGAATTTGATGGAATCTGTCATGCATATCAAGATTCACATCTAACTAAACACCATATTTTACATGTATTAAAGAAAAAAAAAAAGAGACAATACCATGACTTGAACAATACACAAATAACCTGCATATAGGAGAGGAGGAGGAGCTTACAATGATGTTTCGGTCCAACTTGGACCATAGTCGGGGTCTTGGACACTAGTCGGCCAAAGCCTTTATTTATTTATTTATGTCTTTGCAAACAGAACACTGAGATTATGTATTTACAATAATGGGTAGTAATGCAAAGAGAGCCTCTATTATGCCTAGGCATTATGGGCTGACTTAACATTATTGGCTTACTGACTACTTAACACTAAGAATTATATCAGAGTTGTACAGTACATTATTAATTATATCATAGTTGTACAGTAGATTATTAATTATAAGCGAATCTAATTTATGTAAGACAAAAGATATATTCATATATTAAAAAACGTTTTTTTGTGGAACAATGATTCAATTATATTCCTGTCGACAATGGATAAAAGGTTCAAAAGTAATTGTTGAAATTATGATATGGGAATACGTATTGAGTATGTGAGTACTGAGTATTGAGTATTTAGTCTAGGGTGATTAAGTGGCTTTTGAGAGGAGTCTTAAACTGATTTTCAGACCGGGTTACTTTAGTATCTTCTGGTAATGAATTCCATATTTTGGGGCCCTTTATGTGCATAGAGTTTTTACACAGTGTGATATGGACAAGGGGTACATCAAAAAGAGATCTGTGTCTTGTGTTATGGTCATGTGTCCTGTTAAGGTTGGTGAGGATAAGTTTGAGTTGTGGGTTTATATTTGAGTGTATTGTTCTGTGTATGTAGTAGGCACATGAATAAGTATGGATGTTCTTAATGGTGAGCAAATTTAGACTTTTGAAAATTGGTGGAGTTTGCTGTCGGGAGTGGGAATTTGTTATCATTCTGACTGCTGCCTTTTGCTGGGTTATTAGAAGTCTTAGGTGATTTAATGTTGTTGGTCCCCATGCACAAATTCCATATATGAGATAAGGGTATATGAGTGAATGGTAGTGCCAGGAGAGCTGATTGTGGAACGTAGTACATGTACTGTATCTAGGATAGTATGCCTACAGTCTTAGAGATTTTCTTGGTGATTTGTTGTATATGTGTCTGGAACTTAAGGTTACTGTCAAGGTGGATACCAAAGAATTTTCCCTCTGCAAGTCTCATGACTGATGATCCGTTTAGCGTTATGTTAAGTGGAACATTTGCAGCTTTGTTTCCAAACTGAATAAAATAGGTTTTATCAGTATTCAGGGTAAGTTTATTAATCATCATCCAGGCAGATATTTTCTGCAATTCGGCATTGACGGTGTTGGCGAGTATGAGTGGGTTTGGGTGGGAGAAGACGTATGTAGTGTCATCTGCAAATAATATGGGTTTGAGTAGCTGTGATGCATTCGGTAGATCATTGATGTAGATGAGAAAGAGGAGTGGTCCAAGGGCACTTCCCTATGGGACTCCTACTGTGATTGGTTGGGTGGAAGAGTTTGCACCATTTGTGTACACATATTGAATTCTGCTACTAAGGTATGACTTTAGGTAGTTGAGGGAGTGGTCTCTGATACCATAGTGCGTTAATTTAGAGTACAGCAGTTCATGGTCGACTGTATCGAAAGCTTTACATAAATCAATGGAAATGCCCTGCGGGACTTCTTTCTTTTCGAGTGTGGTATATATTAGTTCTAGCATGTGTATGATAGCATCATTTGTGCTGTTATTATTCCTGAATCCAAAGTGACAAGGGTTTAATATGTTGTGTGAGATGAGGTAGGAATAGATCCGTCTATGAATTAATTTTTCAAAGATTTTAGAGGGCAGTGGTAAGTTAGATATAGGTCTATAGTTATTCAAGTCAGCTTGGCCACCTCCTTTATGGATCAGAGTGACCCTCGTTATTTTGAGGATTGTTGGGAAGGTAGATGATTCTATGGATTTGTTAGAGTGTTGCAATAATTGGTGACAATACTTGAGAAGCTTTTTTGTACATAAAAGCAGGCAAGTTGTTTATGTCTCCTGCCTTGTTTTTAAGGATGTTGATGATGAGCGAAACTTCTGGTGAGGTGGTTGGAGCTAGGAATAGCGTATCTGGGTAGGTACCTATGAGGTAGTCTAATGGACAAGTGTTTGAGCTTGGTATTTTATTTGCTAGATTTTTTTTCTATGGTGGAGAAGAAAACATTGAGTCTGTTTGCTGTTTCAGTTGGTGTGAGTACGGGTTCTTTTGTTAATTTGATTGTTTTGTTTTTGGATAACTTTTTAGTTCCAAGAACTTCAGATAGAGTTTTCCAGGTCTTTTTCATATCACCTTTGATGCTATGTAATCTATTTTCATAATACAATTTTTTAGATCTTCTTATCAGGCTGGTAAGAGCTGACGAGTAACGTTTAGACTGGTCTCTAGTTATTTGACCCATTCTATACTGTTTTTCATATTTGTTCTTTGTGTTAATGGATTTGAGGATGCTTGGTGTTAGCCAGGGACTATTCAGTCTCTTTGCTGTGATCTGTTTAGTTTTTTTGGGACAATGTTTGTTGTAGAGGTGATGGGCTATTTTTAGAAAATTATTTATACATTCATTCATATCTGTATATGTTTCGAGCTCATTTTGCCAGTCGATGTTATTCATAGCTGCTATAAAGTTGTTAACAGCTGTCTCGTTATGTAGTGTGAAGGTAGCTTTAGTATAATGTCTTGGGGCAATTTACCTAGATTAGTTATGAGAAAGGTTGGGTAGTGGTCTGTAGTGTTGTCTGTGATTATGCCTGATTTTAAAGGGGATATGGTGTTAGTCCAGATGTGGTCTATTAAGGAGATACTTGTCTCGGTGATTCTTGTAGGTTTAGATATTGTTGGTAGCAACAGGCAGTTGCTCATAGTATTTGTGAATTCGGTTACTTGTGGGTCCTGGTTGTGTAGTAAGTTTATGTTGAAATCTTCTGTTAGTAGCAGGTGGTCTTTATTCATGTGTGCATCAGTAGTCATGTTTCCTAGTTTTTCACTAAAGTGGTAAATGTTTGACTGTGGTACTCTGTAGAAGTTTATAATTGTGAGGGTTTTTTGCAGGTCTTTTGATTTAAATTTGGCTATGATATATTCACCATGTTCATCCCTTGTGCAAGATTTTTTGATACATTCGAGTTGATTTGAGTAGTACATAGCTGTTCCTTCCCCTTGCTGGTCTGTTCTACATGAGGGAGTGTTTGTAAATGGCCCAAGTTGGACTGAAATGTTGTCATAAGTTTCTCTCTTTCCTATGCGTGGGTTATTTGCATATTTATGTGTATTAAATGGAAAAATAAATATAATTATTGTGTTAAACTTCAAAAAAATTAAGTAACTTACTTATCAACTTTGGCTATCATTTGTCTGATGCTGTAGGAAGAGTCAAGGCTATATTGTGTCACTTCACTGGGTGTGGCTCCATCACGATATGGTCGAGCTGGAAATTTGCTAAACCGAAACTCTGTGCCTGGTTTGGGTATCATGTCAGGGAGAACTTGCCTCGGTTCTATCTCAGGTTCAGAGCTCAAAACTATCTCTGGACACGCACTGGAATTGTGGGTGTTGATTCGTGATTTGCTTGGCTGCTGGTCCATGTTACTTAAATCTAAACATTCATTAAACTGATCACCAGAACATGTTGGCTGGTTGTCTGTAGCAGAGGTAGTGCTTGTGCTTTTTGACTTCTTTCTTGTTCCATGCCAAGCATTTACTGATGCTAATTCAATTACTGAACAAATCCTGCCTGTAAAATTTTAAAACAACTGCAATTAATAATTACTATATTTTTCTTATGCTCCCAATCTGACTACTGTATCTCTGCCTTAAACTATTATTATGGGGTAGCATAAACATAAGAATTTATTTTATCTTATGGTAAATATTGTGCTGACAAAAACCTGTGGATAAAATGTTCAGAGGTAATAGATGTAGTTTTATATGCAGCATGGTTAGGCAAGCAGCATGCACATCATTGAACAAAATTCTTTTTCCCCTTTTTCTAAATAAAGATATCAATAAAAGGTTAACACCAAAAAAGGCATCAGCTAATAATAACACAATCTTTGCATCATCAGGAATGAGTATTTTCTGAACACTACTATAATAGAGTGATTTTTTTAACACACTGGCCATTTCCCACTGAGGGTGACTTGAAAAAGAAGAAACACTTTCATCATCACTCACTCCATCACTGTCTTGCCAGAGGCACACTAAAACTACAGTTAAAAAACTGCAATATATCCCCACCCCTCCTTCAAAGTGCAGGCACTGTACTTTCCATCTCCAGGACTCAAGTCTGGCTAACCAGTTTCATAAATGTTACTTTATGATGTTTCTCTTTTCTTGGTGTCACCCTACCTTGGTGGAAGATGGATAGCATGAAAAAAAATGAAATACTAACTCTACTCCCACAAGAAAAAAGCCTTCTTCTATAATCAGTCAATGTAGGTATTTCAAGTGTATGCATTAACATTGATAAACAAATATTTAATCAAAGGACAACCCTCATTAACAAACAGTGCTGAATGACCCATTATTGTAGCTATTAGGAAGAGCTAAATTGCTGTAAAGATGGTGGTGATGGTAATGGTTGGCAGAGGGGTGGTGGGCTTGCATGAGATTTTGCTCAGATAAGTTACATATGCTGTGCTGTACAAGCCATAATACAGATTTTGCTATGTTTTAAGGCAAGTAAACGTTACAAAATATTCAGTGCATACATGCATATTAGTGTAAAACTCTATGGTTTTGCAAAAACAAATCTACAGTAATGCAATTCATGTAAATGGTATCTGATACATTCCTAGCCTCAAAGTAATCTGATGCAATATGATTTGGTGTACTTCAGATATTTAAAAAAAAAACTTCACCTTCATAATTTTAATCACAACAGTCTACAAAGTTCTTGAAAATATCATTCATTCATAAGATGTCCCTACCTGCTGTATGACCTATAGAAGTTTGGTACTTGATTGTATATAATATACCTACCTGATTTTGGAATCATTCTTTCTAACTCTGCAGAAGGAATATATTGTGTCAGTGAGATCCACTTTTCCCAGGACTCTATGGGATATGCTCCAAGACATCTGTCCAAATCACGTAGGCTGGCACGAACTCTTTCCACTTCTTCTGGGTCTACATCTGAGATAACAATATGAAAAATAATAAAGAACTCTTAGGTAAACAAAGTACGGTGGACCCCCGGTTAACGATATTTTTTCACTCCAGAAGTATGTTCAGGTGCCAGTACTGACCGAATTTGTTCCCATAAGGAATATTGTGAAGTAGATTAGTCCATTTCAGACCCCCAAACATACACGTACAAACGCACTTACATAAATACACTTACATAATTGGTCGCATTCGGAGGTGATCGTTATGTGGGGGTCCACTGTATTTGGGTTTTTTCTCTCTATATTTTGTGTTGCAGTATTTACACATATGGTATCTTACAAACTTCCAATAATTTTTCGTTTGTCATTCAGAAATAAATCTGCACAGCATATTTTTTTGTAAATACTACACAAGTACAGGGGAACCTCGGCTTATGAGTTTAATCAGTTCCATGACCTTGCTCGTATCCCGATCTGCTCGTATGCTAAGTCAATTTTCCTCATTTAAATGAATTGAAATGAGATTAATCCGTTTCAGCTGAATTCCTGCTCTCAGGAGGCAGGACAAAATACTTGAACATGACCCTAATATCAACTCTGACTTATTTATCTATCGCAATTCATCTAATATGACATAATAAACCATATAAATAACATAGAAACCTGAAATGTATATATTCTAGAATGAATTTCCTTTATCACTTTTAGTTCTTCCTGTGATTCTTGTCTCCTGTAAGATTTCTTCAGCTTAAGTTCGATATTTTCAATTTCATTGACTAGTCCTCCCTTCGTATTTCAGATATGTTGGCCTCACTCAGCAGTTTGTATAATGAATGTCTCTCTCTTTCTAGTTTAGATCTTCTCTGTCTTTTTCTTAATGGAATGTATCTTGAACAGATCTCAAAAACCACAGAATTAATTTTTTCAAGGCAAATGTTCGGATCCATGTTGTTTAGGATATCTTCCCAGCTTGTTTCATTTAGGACATGGTTTACTTGATCCCATTGTATGTTTTTGTTATTGAAATTGAATTTCGTGAAGAGACCTTCATGACTGCTCACCTTTTGCTGGTCAGGAGCCCTGTGCATACATGTCTGTACCTCCATTATGTTGTGATCTGAGTGTATTGTCTTTGATACAGTTATATTACGTATCAGATCACCATTGTTAGTGAAGATGAGGTCCAGCGTATTTTCTAGTCTTGTAGGCTCTACTATTTGCTGGTTTAAGGTGAATTTGGTGCCGAGATTTAATAGTTTGTGTGTGTGTGAATTTTCATCTGAGATGCCTCCCGGGGTGATCTCTGCTAAAACATTGTTTGCTATATTCCTCCATTTTAGGTGTCTCAAGTTGAAATCTCCTAGTAATAAGATGTCTGGCGCAGGAGTTGGGAGATTTTCCAGACAGTGGTCAATTTTCTCAAGTTCCTCCTGGAATTGCTGGAAAGTTGCATCTGGAGGTTTGCATACTACCACAATGACAATGTTTTGGTTTTCAATCTTTACGGCCAAAACTTCAACTACATCATTTGAGGTGTTCAGTAGTTCTGTGCAAATGAGCGACTCTGTGACATACAGGCCAACCCCCCTTTGTTGCCTGTTTAGTCTGTCGCATCGGAATAGGTTATAACCCGGGATCCATATTTCGTTGTCATAATGATTCTTTACGTGAGTCTCTGTGAATGCTGCAAACATTGCATTTGACTCCACGAGCAGTTCCTTGATGTAAGTAATTTTGTTGTTTTTTGATGGCTTTAGACCCTGTATGTTTGCAAGGACAAATGTCATTGTATTGGTGGAATTTAGAGAGGTTTTATTTGCTGGCTCTAATATCTGTTGTTCTGGAGTAGTGCTAACGTCCGTGCCTCTGCTCCAGAAGTGTTTTCAGTTGGTGTAGGATTATTGTTATTTCTTGCCAGTCTTTTTTCCCTCCTGGCCCTAAAAAACCAGGCCACTGGGCCTGGTGGCTAAAGCTCCCACTTCACACATGGAGGGCCCAGGTTCGATTCCCGGCGGGTGGAAACATTTTGACACGTTTCCTTAAACCTGGTGTCCTGTTCACCTAGCAGCAAATAGGTACCTGGGTGATAGTCGACTGGTGTGGGTCACATCCTGGGGGACAAGATTAAGGACCCCAATGGAAATAAGTTAGACAGTCCTTGATGATGCACTGACTTTCTTGGGTTATCCTGGGTGGCTAGCCCTCCGGGGTTAAAAATCCGAACGAAATCTTATCTTATCTTATCCTCTTTTGTTTCCCATAGTCTGGCTAGTCCCCTTTAGATGATGTGCCTGGCAGTATGTGTTGTAGCATTTTCTTTCATGGACTGATGAGTGACACATTTCTGGGTGAAATAAGTTGACTGAATGATTTACTGACTTGACTGACTGACTTACTGACTTGACTGACTGACTTGACTGACTGACTTGACTGACTGACTTGACTGACTGACTTGACTGACTGACTTGACTGACTTAACTGACTGACTGACCCTGAAACGGTGCCTAGAGCAGCTGATACCTTACCGTCAGTTGTATAATGTACTGTAGGGTAAAATAGAACAGAAATCCATTACAGAATTTATGCACACTCCAGTACAATCATCGACTTCAGTACCAGTACCTCTACCATCCACCTCAGCCCAGTAGGGCCACAGCATAACACTCCACTCTCTTGGCAATCATCTACAAACACCAGCACCCACAATTTAAGATAAGAAATACTATTACGTATTTCTGTTGCAGTTATATAGTCTTAAGCAGTAAAAACTACATAATACTTATGACAATGCACTACAATTATATATTCACTTTTATTTTTGTAAGATCTGGAGGTCTAAAAAAAAGTCGTTTGAGGGGGAAGCTAGCATCCTAAATTTTTGCTCATCTCCAGAAATAAAAAATCGACCGAGCAACTGCTTGTAGTATCCTGAAAAACTCGTATGGTGGGGCACTCGTAAGCCGAGGTTCCACTGTACAATGACATTTCAAAATACATATACAGCTGTTGGCAAGGAAGAATAAGAAAGAACAGTAAGTTAATTCTGCCAATCTATTTTCTTAAATATAACAAGCAGCAACACAATCCCAAACTTGGGATATGTGATCAGACAAATATGTGAATCATTGCTAGCAATATATAATATTGGAGATGCTAAAATGTTAAATACAGTATTCCAAAATGTAATAGGGTTAATGAAATATAATATGTAATAAAATCTATATTTACCTTCTTTCAAGTCTTCAGCTTTTTCATCATAATGACGCACTACAATTTCTCGTTGCTTAAAAACATGGAAAAATCCTGTTCTCGGTGCTGTGTCTCCTTGGCGACTTACAGCACTGCAATGGGAAGGTGACTGTTAATCTACAAAAGTGTGGCAAGAACTTTTAATTGCTCACAATACAGCCTCTATTCACTTAGCGGTGTACTCGTTTACCGACAACTCGGACTTATGATGGGCTCTCTGACCAGTATGCATACCTAAATAATGTATATTAGAGCAGATTTCCTCTATTCTGTTTATTACAATATACAGTACACTACTGTATAAACATTTAAAAATATACTATAAATGTTACAAATGGTACAAAGGTGACATTAAAGAAATATCAGAGATGGTTGACACAAACCCACTACCATTATAGTATGCTCCTCATTTGGCGACGAATTCGTTTACCAACGCGGTCTTAGGAACAGAACTCCATCGCTAAGTGAGGAAAGGCTGTATATTTTTTTGCTAATTATAATACTACTTCAAGGAATGAAAACATACATTGACAAATTTAGCTGGGCTAAATAAAGTAAGTCTGGCAATAGGCTATATTGAATTTTTTAGTTTACCTTCATTAAGCATTTTTTTTATAAATGTAATAATGAATTACACTTGCACCAAAAAAAATGCACTAAACCTGTATGAGTCATACAGAGCTGCAAGCAGGGGTGTATAAGGGTAGAGATTAATGGAAGCGGGAGGTTAGTGCAAGTGTAAAACTGAAGGAAAAGTTGGTGCAAGTTAGTTTGTTAAATACGTACTTCAAAGCAAGTCTGCATTAAAGTGGGACTTACAGGGAGGAGATAAATGAGACCGAGTTAGTCAGAGCACTGCAGATGTGAATGGTGAATGCTGGATGATCTGATGAACAGGACAGTCTATTAGGATATGATGAACTGATAATGCAACCTGGCAGTCCTCATAGGGAGGTGCTGGGAATTTCTCTTTGTGGTATTTGTATGAAAATAGTGTGTGTTGGATTTGTAAATGTGAGAAAGCAATTTCTCCATACCAGAGAGTGGTGGGAAGATGGCCAGAAACCTAATTGTGCTTCGACAGAAAACAATTTGTTGCGGTTTAAATCAGACCAACATTGTTTCCAGCCATTTTGATGTATAACTAGAGCATGCCTAGAGAGGGTTTTGGGGGATGATGCCCCTGCAACCCAGTCTGTGACCAGGCCTTGCTGCTGAGAGTGCTAGAAAATAGCTTGAGAAGAAACACTCCTGCACGACTTGGTATTTTCTGGATAGCTGACCAATGGACAACATATGTGGGGGAGTCATATGGATAACATATGTGGGGAATCATATTTCTAGATAACCTGTAACACACTCTGGGAATAGGAAACGGCAAACAATAAGGCAGACATTGTTGCAATGTGTACGATAGTGACGAATGCTATATAGTATATAACTCTACAGTGAAAATGTTGACCAACTCTAGTAAACATCCTTGGATCACTAACTGGAAAAACAACTGTATACTCTACTCCATTTAGTAATCTGGAACCATAAGTGTGCATGACTCTGGACCAAGAAAGTTATTGAAAGCGTTCAAGAAAGATTGAGCACATGTTTGTAGCAAATATGTGAGCCTATTGGCATGGAAGAGCAAGGAGCAAATCTGAATCAGTAAAACATCCCAAGTAGGGAGTAGAAAAGCAAGGTATTGGATGAACATGAAGGAAAGGTAAATTGAGAGATGCTACTAAAATGCAAATATGGAGAATAAAAGAATTTTATAAATACTATTGGCAAAGAATAAATTAGTACTATAAATCTTATTAATTATAAAATTTTTGATTATCTCATTTTAGTAATAAGGTAAAATAATGAATACTTAAAATTTACCACTCCCTAACCTATGTCTAGTTTTAACCCTTTGACTGTTTCAGTCGTATATATACGTCTTACGAGGTACCGTGTTTGACATATACAGTGGACCCCTGGTATTTGATGGCATCGGTATTCGATAAATCCGGTATTCGATGCATTATATCGCAAAAAATTTTCCTCGGTATTCGATTGAAAACCCGGTATTCGATACGATTCGTACGAGACCTGTCCATGAGTGGCCAGAACTGCCCCGTGTGCCAGTGTTTACAAGCCAGCCAGTGTGCGCGCATCTAAGGATACATTCGGTACATTCCATATTATCCATATTATCACTGTATTTGGTGCTTGTTTCTGCAAAATAAGTCACCATGGGCCCCAAGAAAGCTTCTAGTGCCAACCCTGTGGTAAAAAGGGTGAGAATTAGTATGGAAATTAAGAAAGATTTTGAAGGGCTTGGGGCTAACCCTGAGAAGCCTATGCCAGTTGTGGAATCCATTGTGTCTACTTCAAAAATTAAGGAAATGTGTGCACAGTGGGTTGAAGTGCAAACCTTTATGGATGAAAATCACCCTAACACAGCTATTGCAAGTCGTGCTGGTGACTATTACAATGACAATGTTGTGGCCCATTTTAGACAAATCGTAAAGGAACAGGAGGTACAGAGCTCTATGGACAGATTTGTTGTGCGACAGAGGTCCAGTGACTCTCAAGCTGGTCCTAGTGGCATTAAAAGAAGGAGGGAAGTAACCCCGGAAAAGGACTTGCTACCTCAAGTCCTAATGGAAGGGGATTCCCCTTCTAAACACTAACACCTCTTCCCTCCTCCCATCCCATCAATCATCACCAGATCTTCATTAACCCTTTGAGGGTCGACAGGCCCTCTCCGAAACTCGTTCTCAGGGTCGGCCAAATTTCAAAAAAAAAAAAAATTATTTTTTCTTATGAAAAAATAGTGTTTTTTTTTCTAAACATTATAGGATAAACAAAAAAAATTTACCATCAATACTTACGGAGATATGGATGCATGAAGTTTGCAGAAAATGAGCCGCGTATGGCAACAGCGGCGACTGCCGCTCACCCAGTAAACTTTAGTTTACTTGTATTTGAAGGTTTGTTGTTTTTTTCACTATTTTATTTTTTCACATAACTTATGTGGCCTATGAGACCAAAGTAAGGTGCAATGTACAAATACAACTCGTTGTATACAACACAATAAGCACAAAAAACATAATTATCAATATATTGTTTAAAAAACTTTTTTTACAAAAACAAACAATACAAAACATTGTTTATTATTATTGTTCTATAATATATATACCAATATACAGTCACTGAACTTTTCTTTTTAGTTCTGCAGCTTGTGGAACTCTGAAACATGGTGTCATACACAATGGTGTTTTATCTTTTTTCCCTCATTCTATCTCTTTCAATCTGTCTCTCTCTTTTCTATCTGCCCTGTCTTCTCTGCCCTCACAGGTCCCACATAAATACAAGTATACATAGTAAAATTACCTAGATAACCCAGAAATCCAGACAAAAAGTGCTATACTCTTCTTGAAGATGTGAGTAAAAGTGATGACACAGTCTTGTGGCTCCCCTGAGACAGAGAGCTAGACGGATAGACAAAATAGACAGGGAGCTTGACAACAGACAAATAGACAGACAGAAATGTTAGTGTACCAGACCAGTGTACTAGTGGGTTCCACCCTCCTCCTCCTCTTTTTCCTCTTCCCCCTACTCTTCCTCCTCTTTCCCCCTACTCTTCCTCATACTCTTCCTCTTCCTCCTACTCTTCCTCTTCTCCTCCTCCTCTTCTTCCTCTTCCTCCTCCTCCTCCTCTTCTTCCTCTTCCTCCTCTTCCCCCTAATCTTCCTCCTACTATTCCTCTTCCTCCTCCTCTTCCTCTTATTCCTCTTTCCTCCTACTCTTCCTCTTCCTCCTCCTCCTCTTCCTCTTCCTCCTCCTCCTCTTCTTCCTCTTCCCCCTACTCTTCCTCCTTCTCCTTCTCCTCCATAGTGTAAATTACCAGGAGTCGGCAGCTGTCAAATGACATATTGTCTCATTTACTCACTCCCCCCCCGCCTGTCAAAACAATGGGGTCGGATGCTGCTTCCCTTCCCCATTCTATCTAATTATCTTTCTCCCCCCATTCTATCGTCTTTTTATCTCTTTTCTCACAGGTACACATAAATACAAGTTATACAAGTATAAATTACCTAAGGGTAACCCAAGAAACCCAGACAAAGTGCTATACTCTGCTTGAAGATGTGAGTAAAAGTGATGACGCAGTCTTGTGGCTCTCTGAGACAGAGAGCTAGACGGATAGACAGGGAGCTTAAACAGACAGGCAAATAGACAGACAGACAAATGTTAGTTAACCAGCAAAAACAAAGGGGAGGGCGATGTTTATCTCATCTTTTGGCATCAGCTCTACCCTCATTTACCCTCATCAAACGTCAGCACTTATCAGATGTTATCTCCCCTTATCTTGTTACTGTCATGGGTGAACATTTATTATTACATATTATTATTACCTATTATTATTATTATGTATTATTATTATGTATTATTATTATTATTATGTATTATTGTTATCATTACGTATTCTTCTTCTTTTTTCCTCCCCTCCTCCTCTTCTTCCTCCTCCTCTTCTTCCTCCTCCTCCTCTTCTTCTTCCTCCTCCTCCTCCTCTGCCTCCTCCTCCTCTGCCTCCTCCTCCTCTTGCCTCCTCCTCCTCTTGCCTCCTCCTCCTCTTGCCTCCTCCTCCTCTTGCCTCCTCCTCCTCTTGCCTCCTCCTCCTCTTGCCTCCTCCTCCTCTTGCCTCCTCCTCCTCTGCCTCCTCCTCCATTCTTGGAACAAGTTTGAAGAGCTTGTAGTTCATAATCACTATCACTATCATCACCAATGCTCACATCTGAGTCTGGGATTTTGGAAAATAGGAGTTTCCTCTTTGATTCTGGTACAACTGAACGTGAACAAGATGGCCCAGCACCAGAGGTGGAAGGCTGTGGGTTGTCTGGGTTTTCCTCACTATTACCCATATTATGGTCATTAGTTTTGGTCAAAACCTCACCAGAACCTTGAAACTCATCTTCACTGTCACTTCCATCTGTATTAGAACTGTCACTGGGGAACAAAAGTGTCCCAATTCACTGAGGAGTGAGGAACTTCTTACCACAGGGCACGGTGGAAATTGTGTACTATGATGGCATTCCCACAATGAACCACTGGGTCCCAGATTTTTTTCCTACTGCGCACACCCACCACACAGACCCATTCTCTCACATCTAGGCTTATCAGCCTTTTCCTGTGAGATTTGAGGCCGCTAGAATTTATGCGTACTAGTACGTCAAAAACCCCTACGCGTAAGACGTACTAGTACGACCAAAACCCTCAAAGGGTTAAAGGTAAGTATCAATTGTTTTATTGTTATTGTAATCATTCTATTGCATTAAACTTAATATTTCATGTAGTAATTTTTTTTTTCATACTTTCGGGCGTCTTGCATGGATTAATTTGATTTCCATTATTTCTTATGAGGAAAATTGATTCGGTTTTCGATATTATCGGTATTCGCTGAGCTCTCAGGAACGGATTAATATCGAATACTCGGGGTCCACTGTATATACTCATAAATTCTAGCGGCTTCAAATCAAGCAGGAGAAAGCTGTTAGGCCCACGTGAGAGAATGGGTCTGTGTGGTCAGTGTGCACCATATAAAAAAAATCCTGGAGCACGCAGTGCATAATGAGAAAAAAAAAACTCCGACCATTTTTTTAATTAAAATGCCGACTTTGTGGTCTATTTTCGTATAGTATTTAGAGTTGTATTCTCGTTTTCTTGGTCTTATTTGATAGAATGGAAAACATATTATAGAAATAGAGGTGATTTTGATTGGTTTTACTATAAAAAGAACATGGAAATGGAGCACAAAGCAGGGGAAATGTTTGATTTTTGCCGATGTTCAAAAGAAAACAAATGATGTCGTTGTCCAATACATGTCCAACTAGCCATTCTAATAAGCAGTCATGAATGGGTTGACATTATTTGTACACTTATTACAGTATTGCAGTAGTTTGCATAACAGTAAATCTTCTATTTTTAGTTTGAATAAAAATTCAAAATAGAAAGCAAGAGTAATATCAGAGGGGCTTGGAGACATGACTAATGAACAAAGAAAATGTTATTTTAGAGCCAGGAATGTCTGCATTGTTCATTCTGGACCTTATTTTGAAATTATCATATTTTTTAATTTTCGTGAAATTGGCCAAATTGCAAATTTCTGACCACGTTATTGGGTAGTTAAATCGGTAAATGGGCAGTTTCTTGTACTCAATCGATAGAAAAAATGGAGTTCTAAAGAAATAGCTATGAGTTTGGTCGAATGGAACAATGGAATTAGCTGAAAATAGGGCTCAAAGTGGGCGAAATCGCCGATTTATAAATATTGCCGAGGTCGCTAACTTCGCTAGAGTGTAATTCCATCAGTTTTCCGTCAAATTTCGTTTTTTTTTTGGTGTCTTTACAATCGGAAAAAGATTCTCTATCATTTCATAAGAATTTTTTTTTTTTTTTTTGAAATTCTGCGACACCAGGAGACACCTCAGGATTGGGGGTTGCGACAGTCTGTAAGCATTAGGATCTGTATGTCCAAAATACTCAGGCATGTTTGTGGTTTTCTTTGTACTCAACATTTTATAAAACATAAATCACACATTGTAACCTTTGCAAAGAAATAAAAATTGTACTGTACTGTATTGTATTGTATTGCTAACATATGTAATAGTTTTGTATGTGTAAGGATTGTGAAGGTCACTGAAGGAAGCAAAATAGAAGAGACATTGGGTATTGTGTCAATTTTGCAAAGACATTTGCCTCTGTATACAGGCTCTTGACTGGGAAAGATTTAAAAACCCTTAGACAGTTGTAACCTTGGTGAAAAAGTAGTGGGGGATGCGAAAAGCAAATGATCTCTGTAGTCTAGCTAAGATAAGATTATGACAGAATGTTGGCAAAGAGTTTGTCTATCAGCTCCACAAAAAGAAAAAAATGGGGTAAATGTCAAACTTTTTCCAGATCAAAAAGACTGCAATAACTGATTATCACTGAAGGCATTGTGGGAATATGTATTGAGGCAGATTAAGGGGGCAATGGTGGAAAAGCACTTTCTGAAACCAAGTTGACTTGGGAGTGTGTGTTTTGAGTTTTAAGGGCTTGGGTCTTGAGCATCCAGCAGCTTTGTGTGAGCACATATGATCAAGGTTAATGGAAAAAAAAGTGGTTTTTATAGCATGATGTGCTGTTGGAGTGTTGGTAAGATAACATTCATGAAGGAATTCATGAAAACTGGGTAGTCAGATTTTACTACTGGAGGGGGTGGGGGTGTTGTAGTTAGGAGGGTCAAATGAACTGTGATATCTGCACAATTCTGGCAAGACAACTATTGAAAGTGTGACAGTGACTGCATTTTCTTTTTCTTAGGTCACTGTACATTGGTGGGGGACAGCATGTCAAAAAATATTATACAGTGGGCCCCCGGTTTACAATATTATTTTATTCCAGAAGTATGTTCAGGTGCCAGTACTAACCAAATTTGTTCCCATAAGGAATATTGTGAATTAGATTAGTCCATTTCAGACCCCCAAACATACACATACAAACGCACTTACATAAATACACTTACATAATTGGTCGCATTGGGAGCTGATCGTAAACTGGGGGTCCACTGTATATTATTATTATTATTATTTTCAACGTGTCAGCCGCTTCCCACCGAGGCAGGGTTTCCCAAAAAGAAAGAAAAACCCCAAAAGGAATAAAAAACTTTCATCATCATTCAACGCTTTCACCATCACTCATACATAATAACTGTCTTTGCAGAGGCCCTCAGGTATGACAGTTTAGACATCCCTCCAAACTGCCAATATCTTAAACCCCTCCTTTAAAGTGCAGGCATTGTACTTCCTATTTCCAGGTAGGGTGACCCCAGAAAAAGAAGAAACACTTTCACTATCACTGTCTTTCCACCCCTCCTTCAGAATGCAGGTACTGTGCTTCCCACCTCCAGGACTCAAGTCTGGCTAACTAGTTTCCTTGAATCTCTCCATAAATTTTACACTGCTCACATTTCAATAGCACATCAAGTCATAAAAATCACTTGCCTCCGCTCACTCCTATATAACATGCTCATACATGCCTGCTGGATGTCTAAGCCCCCACACACAAAACCTCCTTCACCTCCTCTGTCCAGCCATTCCTAGGACGACCCTTTTCCCACCTTTTGTCCACTACAGATTTATATGCCCTCTGAGTTATCATATTTTGTTCCAGCCTCTCTAAATGTCCAACCCATCTTCTGAATAATACTTTTAGTAACCCCACACCTCCTAATCTCCAAGCTACATTATTATATTTACAAAAACAGCAAAATGAAGTATTTTTATGGATGCTAACCTAAAATAAATAAAGTGGATACCTGGAGGAATCATCTTCACCCCTTTAAATCTTTCACCAACATTCCAGGAACTTAAGTCAATGCCAAACTCTGTTCCAATTGGCATGCCAAGGAGGACTAGTGTTCCCCCCTCTTCAAACATCTGGAGGGCCAACTCTGGATCCATGGTTCTAATCCTGTAAAGCATATTAATTTATTTGTAATTAAATCTAATAATTTACACAGTACTGTAATGTATACATTCAATACAGTTCCTAGAAAATACAAATGAACATTATCAATACCATGTACTATACTAGCCTATTTTGGTTTATATTGAGAGTATGAGAGTAAGCCAGACATGGTGCCTTTATTGGGCTATCCCAGGTTACTAACCATACATGTTAGCAAGCAAAATAAAATCTTCTTGGCTTTGTAATTATTATAAACATAACTAAGTGCTAAACCCATTAACAAACAAAATTTATTTCTTTGTGTAGTATACAAAATGTAGTTTACATGTGATAAAATAATGTTAAGCACAAAAATGGCACCAGTGCTGCCCTGGCTTTGTAAGCTGCACCAGAAACTGTGTCAAAAAATAATCCATTGGTGTCTAGTGAATATGTAACACAGCCAACATTAACTGCTATATAAATATGGCATATCACTGTCAAAAGATGAGATAATTAACAAAGATCCTAACAGAAATACGTCACACTGACTAAAAGGCTTTCCTTGGGATAAATCTCCCGCAGATAATGTACTACTGTTATTGCATCCCTAAAATATGTTGATATTCACGAGCATTGTACAAATTTTAGTTTGCAGAAAAAGAATTTCATAATTACTGGCTTTCTTTTGTGACTACCAATGTTTTACTACATGTAAACAACATTATTTGTACTGCATAAATAAATTAAAACTGTATCGCATTGTAGATTTCTACCCAAAATGCCTAGGTAGTGATGCCTAGGCATGCTAGTGGCTTTCTTTGTAACTAATATTTTGTATGTAAACTACACACTGTAATTAATATTGTATAATATGTAAACCCCACATTGTAATCTTTACAGAGAAATAAACATTTCAATTTCAAATAGAATTTGTTTTATCTTCACTCTCCACTAATTTTTTTTTAAATGATCATATTCATTAACTTAATACATATTATTTTAATAGTTACATTATTTGACTTCAGTGAGTTATCACAGGTCACATCTACATAATGTTCTATACATGTGTACCAGTAATATCTGCATGTTCTCAAACCAGTGTAAAAATAAATGTATGCTAATGAATGAAATACAGTACAGTACTAAATTAAAACTTTCTTAATGGCTGAAATAAGGCCATAATTATTATTATTATTATTATTATTATTATTATTATTATTATTATTACATTATTATTACTACTATTATTAGTATTATGGTATAATTTTGATTGTTCTTTATGGATTTGGGAAGTGCCAAATCCATAAAGTTTATACAGCAAATGAGGAATAAGAAGTAATTAGTCTTGATCTGAAGACAGGGATGAGTAGCTCCAATTCCATGGATTAAGAGCCATTCATCAGTATCAAGGCATCCCCTCCCCCTTGAAGAGCATTAAACTTGCAATCCTTACAGGGCATTTTGGTGCTGGTGAAGAGCTCTTGATTCAAGGAATTACAGTTAGTCTCTTTTTCCTCCAACCTAATTACTTCCCATTCTCCCTAAACCACCTATGGGTTTAGCACTTTCTCATAAATATCTTAAGGCCGTACTTACCTGGACAGTAACACCAAGATCACTGTAATCACTAAAACACAGACTCAAGCTCCTATCCATGTATATACACAGAAATACATGCAATACAAGGACCCCAATGGAAAAACATACAATACAGCCTGGTTGATCAGGCCCTGATCCACCATGAGGTCTGGTCACAGACCAGGCCACAGAGGTGTTGACCCCCAAAACCCTCTCCAGGTATACAGTACAAGGGCCCCAATGGAAATAAATCTGTCTGTCTGACTTTTTAGGTTATCCTCAGTAATCTACACATATGCTGCTATGTATGATAATTAATGTAACTGTATTATGTGTACCTGTACCTGAATAAACTTAATTACTTACTATAGATACAAACATTAATACAGTACAGAGAAAAACACTCATACAGAGGTAGAGATGAGCACAGATACAGATATAAGATTTGTTTGGATTACAGGCAAGTATATGCAGGTGAGATATAAGCAGATACACATAAATACACAGTCACAGCCAGCAGTTATGTCTCGACCCCTGCAATCACAATTAGGTGAGTACAAAGATATACAGTGGACCCTCGACCAATGATGGCATCATATAACGTTAAATCCGACTAGCGATACATTTTAATGCAAAAATTTTGCCTCGACTAGCGCTAAAAAACTCGACCAACGCGATTCGTTCCGTTCGAGATGCGTCCACGTGTGGCCTGTACAGTGTTTACAAGCCAGCCACCGCGGTCGCATCCAAACATACAATCGGAACATTTCATATCACAGTGTTTTTAGTGACTGCACCTGCAAAATAAGTCACCATGGGCCCCAAGAAAGCTTCTAGTGCCATCTCTGTGATAAAAAGGGTGAGAATTAGTATGGAAATTAAGAAAGATTTTGAAGGATTTGGGGCTAACCCTGAGATGCCTATGCCAGTTGTGGAATCCATTGTGCCTACTTCAAAGATTAAGGAAATGTGTGCAAAGTGGGTTGAACTGCAAACCTTTATGGATGAAAATCACCCTCACACAGCTATTGCAAGCCGTGCTGGTGACTGTCACAATGACAATGTTGTGGCCCATTTTAGACAAATCGTAAAGGAACGGGAGGTACAGAGCTCTATGGACACATATGTTGTGCGACAGAGGTCCAGTGACTCTCAAGCTGGTCCTAGTGGCATTAAAAGAAGAAGGGAAGTAACCCCGGAAAAGGACTTGACACCTCAAGTCCTAATGGAAGGGGATTCCCCTTCTAAATGCTAACACCATCCACTCTCCCCTCCTCCCATCCCATCAATCATCACCAGATCTTCAATAAAGGTAAGTGTCTTGTAATTGCACATGTCTTCTTCAGTTTGCGTGTATTAAAATTAATATTTCATGTGGTAAAATTTTTTTTTCAATACTTTGGGGTGTCAGGAACGGATTAATTTGATTTCCATTATTTCTTATGGGGAAAATTAACTCGACTAACGATAATTTTGACTAACGATGAACTCTCAGGAACGGATTAACATTGTTGGTCGAGGGTCCACTGTACAGAGATAAACAGAAACACAATACAGATATACACATATAGACACAGATGAATCTAATGACACTAGAGGACAGAAGAATCAAGGTAGGATAACATACAATATACTCAAGGAACTGATATGGTAGACAGAGATAGGTTGTATGAGAGGCAAGAGATGGGAACTTGGAGACACAGCTGGACATTAAAAGATACAAATGAGCCACAGGGATGTCAGGAAGTATTTCTTCAGTCTCAGTGCAACTGGGAAGTAGAATGATTAAGAACAGGTACAATAGTGCCCATGAGGTTAGGAGAAAGTAAATCTGGAGAGTGACAAATTAAGTGGTGGGGCCAGGAGCTGAGAATCAACTCTTGTAACCAAAAATAGGCAAGTGCAAATACTTATAATAATAATAATAATAATAATAAATAATAATAATAATAATAATTTTATTTCTACAAGTACATGTACAAGGTATACAGTCCTAGCTGACATTAATGACATACTACTATATAGAAAGCGCCTTGTTATGTAGAGCATTTCGGGCAAATTAGGTCAGTTTTGTCCCAGGATGCGACCCACACCGGTTGACTAACTCCCAGGTATCCATTTTACTGATGGGTGAACATAGACAACCAGTGTTAAGGAAACACGCCCATGTTTCCACCCCTTCGCCGGGAATCGAACCCGACCCCTCAATGTGTGAAGCGACAGCTTTTGCCACAAGGCCACGTGCAATTTAAACAAATCATGGAACGGGTGGGTTTGTACCCATGACAGCGAGTCGTAAAACTCCCGGTCAGTGAGCAAGCCACGGGTTCAAACCCCTCCTATTCCGTAGTTTGTTTACAATCCTGTTATTACGATTTCGTGAGTCACGTGAAGTTTAGTTATTTCTTCGTCCCAGTAACTGAAAAAATTGTAGTGTATTGGTTCACTGATGTCTGCTGGTTGCTTGCTGCATAGATGCACAAAGAGATACTACTACTTCTTCACGATATAAGCAGTTCGCTTAGCAGGTTTCTTTCCCGCTGACTACACGATATACAAATCTTCAGGATACCTCGTCTTGTTGGGGTTTATAAGGTCACTGACAGCTTACTCCGCATCATCATCATCTTTTTCTTCGAGTTTTTAGGCGCCACTGATAGTTGATAATACACTCAACTCACATACTGAGTGTTTGTGGTTCGATCCTCGTCACGGATGCAAACTTTGGCATATTTCCTTACACTTGTTGCCCTTGTTCATCTAGCAATTAGTAGGTACCTGGGTGTTAGTCGACCGTTATGGGTTCCATCCTGGAGGACAAGCTTAATGGACCCTAATGAAAATAAGAAATACAATCTTCGGTAACTCACTGACTTTATTGGGTTATGCCGGATGGAAAATTCTCTGGAGGTTTTATGGTCTCTGGCCATAAAACCCCCAGAGAGTTATCTGGGGGGGTGACAGTGCCCCTGACAGCTTACGACGTATCTTCTCTTTTGGGCCCCTCAAGGAAGGTTCCTTGATGCTGGTGAAGGGCTCTTGATCTAGGGAATTGGATATGTGCTCCAGTTCCCTGAATTAAACCCGAATACCTTCCACACCCCCACCACAGGTGCTGTATAATCCTAAGGGTTTAGTGCTTCCCCCTTGATTTTAATAATAATAATAATAATAATAATAATAATAATAATAATTCTCTTTTGGGTTTATAGGGCCACTGGCAACTAAAGCCGTATTTTCTTCTTGGGGTTTATAGGGCCACTGGCAGCTGATGACGTATTTTCTCCTTTGGGTTTAAAGGGCTACTAGTAGCTAAGACGGTATCTTCTTCTTCTGGATGTTTATAGGGCCACTGACAGCTTATGCCGTAGTTTCTTCTTGGGTTTATAGGGTCATTGACAGCTTACGTTGTATCGAGCCCTGCCTTCTGGTATCCAAAGTGGAAGGAACACGACTAGCGGGGATAGGTATTATGTCACTGATGCCATATCCTGTAGGATTTGTAAAGAGCATGCAAACCTTACAACGTATGGCAAAACACTTCATTGCTACCTGGAGAGAGTTCCGGGGGTCAACGCCCCCGCGGCCCGGTCTGGGACCAGGCCTCATGGTGGATCAGAGCCTGATCAGCCAGGCTGTTACTGCTGGCTGCATGCAATCCAACATACGATCCACAGCCCGGCTGGTCAGGTACCGACTTTAGGTGCTTGTCCAGTGCCTGCTTGAAGACAGCCAGGGGTCTATTGGTAATCCCCCATATGTATGCTGGGAGACAGTTGAACAGTCTAGGGCCCCTGACACTTATTGTATTGTCTCTTAACGTGCTAGTGACACCCCTGCTTTTCATTGGGAGGATGTCGTCTGCCGAGTCTTTTGCTTTCATTGTGAGTGATTTTCGTGTGAAAGTTCGGTACTAGTCCCTCTAGGATTTTCCAGGTGCATATAATCATGTATCTCTCCCGCCTGCGTTCCAGGGAATACAGGTTCAGGAACTTCAAGCGCTCCCAGTAATTGAGGTGCTTTATCTCCGTTATGCGCGCCGTGAAGGTTCTCTGTACATTTTCTAGGTCAGCAATTTCACATGCCTTGAAAGGTGCTGTTAGTGTGCAGCAATATTCCAGCCTAGATAGAAAAAGCGACCTGAAGAGTGTCATCTTGGGCTTGGCATCCCTAGTTCTGAAGGTTCTCATTATCCATCCTGTCATTTTTCTAGCAGATGCGATTGATACAATGTTATGGTCCTTGAAGGTGAGATCCTCCGAGAATACCCACATTTTGCGTCAACTAGACATATGAAACTTTCTTGAAGAGAGTGCAACCTCTATTGACTAAGGTTTTAATGGTAATACGATACTTAAATGTTTTTGAGACTGTAACTTCATATTGTATTGTGTTTATCAGCTATAAATATATATATATATATATATATATATATATAATATATATATATATATATATATATATATATATATATATATATATATATATATACACATGTGTGTGTGTGTGTGTGTGTGTGTGTGTGTGTGTAATGCACCACGCAGAAACAAGTGGGTATATACAAAGAAAGATTGCAGTTAGCAGGATTCAAAACTACTACTGGGGACAGTCAAGATTCCCAAGCAGTGCTTTAGTCCACTCGGCCACACAAATGCCACAGTTGTGGTATTTGACTGGCCAAAGGAGACTCGAACCTATGAGCCTTGGGACAAGGTACACAGTACTCTGCTTACAGTACCACACTGGTCAATACTTCGGCACCCAGCTTATGCTAGACGTTTTGTTTACCTTATCCCAAAGTTCGTAGGTTCGAGTCTCCTTCTGCCTGAGATTAGTGTTTGTGAATATTTTGCTTGTTCTGTGAATTCTAAACCACGTAAAAATCTTTCGTTGGTGGATGCATGCACGGGAAGAGATGAAAAACTCGAAGCTGCCTTCCTGAATGCTGGCTACTTTGGACCAAAACGTCTAGCGTAAGCTAGGCACCAAAGTATTGACCAGTGTGGTATGGTGAGCAGAGTACTATCTACATTGTCCCAAGGTTCGTAGATCAGATTGTTTCACTTCCTGACAACTCTATGACTGAACAAATACTTCCTAACATCCCTGTGACTCATCTGAATTTTCAATTTCCCATCTCTGAAACATCCTGTCCCTATCCACCTTGTCAATTCCTCTCAGTATTATATATGTCGTTGTCATGTTTCCTCTATCTCTCCTTTTCTCCAGTGTCGTCAGGTTGATTTCCCTTAGCCTCGCCTCATAGGACATATCTCATAGTTCCAGGACTAGTCGTGTTACAAACCTTTGCACTTTCTCTAATTTCTTGACTTGCTTGGCGAGGTGTGGGTTCCAAACTGGTACTGCATTGTGGTTTGCAGTCTTTGGTGGTCTTCTTTGACCTTCCCCAATCTTCATGACTTTACACTTAGTGGGGTAAACTCCGGGAGCCAGTTGTTGGATTAGACTTGCAGCCTGTCCAGATCCGTTTGTAGTCCTACCTGATCCTAATCCACTTGAATTCTCCACATTAGCTTCACATCGTCTGCAAACAAGGACACCTCTGAATTTATTCCTTCTGTCATGTCTTTCACTAATACCAGAAACAGCACCGGCCCTAGGACTGATCCTTGTGTACTCACCTATTTGTACTCACCTATTTGTGGTTGCAGGGGTCGAGTCCTAGCTCCTGGCCCCGCCTCTTCACCGGTTGCTACTAGGCCCTCTCTCTCCCCGCTCCATGAGCTTTATCAAACCTCGTCTTAAAACTGTGTATGGTTCCTGCCTCCACTACGTCATTTTCTAGGCTATTCCACTGCCTTACAACTCTATGACTGAAGAAATACTTCCTACTATCTCTCTGACTCATTTGTGTCTTCAACTTCCAATTGTGGCCTCGTGTTTCTGTGTCCCTCCCTGGAACATCCTGTCTTTGTCCACCTTGTCTATTCCACGCAGTATTTTATATGTCGTTATCATGTCTCCCCTGACCCTCCTGTCCTCCAGTGTGGTCAGGCCGATTTCCCTTAATCTTTCCTCATAGGACATTCCCCTTAGCTCCGGAACTAACCTTGTCGCAAACCTTTGTACTTCTCTAGTTTCTTGACGTGCTTTATCAAGTGCGGGTTCCAAACAGGTGCTGCATACTCCAGTATAGGCCTGACATACACGGTGTACAGTGTCTTGAATGATTCCTTACTAAGGTATCGGAATGCTGTTCTCAGGTTTGCCAGGCGCCCATATGCTGCAGCAGTTATCTGATTGATGTGTGCTTCCGGAGACATGCTCGGTGTTATAACTCACCCCAAGATCTTTCTCCTTGAGTGAGGTTTGCAGTCTTTGGCCACCTAGCCTATCTCTGTCTGTGGTCTTCTGTGCCCCTCCCCCATCTTCATGACTTTGCATTTGGCAGGATTAAATTCGAGAAGCCATTTGCTGGACCAGTGTCCAGTCTGTCCAGGTCTCTTTGAAGTCCTGCCTGGTCCTCATCAGATTTAATTCTCCTCATTAACTTCACATCATCTGCAAACAGGGACACTTCTGAGTCTAACCCTTCCGTCATGTCGTTCACATATACCAAAAATAGCACTGGTCCTAGGACCGACCCCTGTGGGACCCCGCTCGTCACAGGTGCCCACTGTGATACATCATTACGTACCATGACTCGTTGTTGCCTCCCTGTCAGGTATTCTCTGATCCATTGCAGTGCCCTTCCTGTTATATGCGCCTGATGCTCTAGCTTCTGCACTAATCTCTTGTGAGGAACTGTGTCAAAGGCCTTCTTGCAGTCCAAGAAGATGCAATCAACCCACCCCTCTCTCTCATGTCTTACTTCTGTTATTTTATCATAAAACTCCAGAAGGTTTGTGACACAGGATTTGCCTTCCGTGAATCCGTGCTGGTTGGCATTTATACTCTTGTTCCGTTCCAGGTGTGTGTGTGTGTGTGTGTGTGCGTGTGTGTGTGTGTGTATGTGTGTGTGTACTCACCTAATTGTGGTTGCAGGGGTCGAGACTCAGCTCTTGGCCCCTACTTAAACAAGATGGGTCCTACACAGATGACAGCAAGGAAATGAGTGAGCTACTCAAGTCCCAATATGACTCAGTTTTTAGCAAGCCGCTAACCAGACTGAGAGTCGAAGATCAAAATGAATTTTTTATGAGAGAGCCACAAAATTTGGTTAACACAAGCCTATCCGATGTTATCCTGACGCCAAATGACTTCGAACAGGCGATAAA